ATTGTTCCTCAGACAGTAGATCAAGGGGTTGAGAAAGGGAGTAACGGCAGTATAGAAGAGAGTCACTGCCTTAGTGACACCTAACTGACTTTCCCCACCTGGTATTAAGTACATCCCTGCCACTGAGCCATAGAAAAGTGAGACCACAATTAGATGGAATGAAACAGTAGAAAAGGCCTTCCTACAACTGCCCTGGCTAGGACTCTTTATCAGGGTGATAATTACAGTACTGTAGGAAAGCACAACAAATAACATATTGCCTATGACCAAACCACTGACTAAAATCTGGCTTAGAATGGGACCATTTCCAAGTGGAGGGCAGGCTAAGGATAGGATTGGACCAGTGTCACACAAAAAATGATCAATGACATTGGAACCACAAAAGGATAATTGAGAAATCAACACTGCAGGAACAATGTACCACAAGAAGCCAAGAAGCCAACAAAAAGCCACCAGAGCATAACAGAAATTGTGAGACATAATATGCAGGTAGTACAGTGGGCAACAGATGGCCAGAAAGCGATCTAAGGCCATGGTTGAGAGGAATAAGCATTCAGAACTACCTAGGGAGAAGAAGATGTAGAATTGGATGAAACACTCATTGAAGGAAATGATTCCACCAGGGACTGCTAAATCAAAGAGCATGCGAGGAACTGTGGTGGACACATAACACATTTCCAGCCAGGAGAAGTTGCTCAGCAAGATATACATAGGAAGCTGGCCCAGGTGAATGTCCAGAAGCACCAAGATAATAATGGTGATGTTCTCAGCCAAGGTGAGCACATAGAGAATAGTGAAAAAGATGAGGAGCAGCAAGCGTTTGTGTTGTGAAATTCCAAATCCTAACAAAACAAATTCTTCAACTGTAGTCCAGTTGGTGGACTCCATCTGGAATGAGATAACAGAAGTTCCATCTTGAATTCATATTCTTTAATTTCATTGTGACTTCCCTCAGTGTGCTTCCCTTCAGATGAATCTAACTATAATGTCTGAAGATTATAATCTATTTAATATCTTTGTGTGGTTGTGTGAAATAAGTGAAGAAGACTCTTCTATTTTCTACAGGACAGGCCTGCATTAGGGGTTTATCACCCCTTATTCCTTTCCACACAGTTCTGCATTCTGCAGCTATGGAAGCAGGAGGAAACCTTGTTTGGAATTTCCTCTCACTCCTTCAAAAAAACACATTTCAAATGCCAGCTCCCTTGGAGTTGTTTATAGAGTGTGAAGTAGGGAGCAGGAAGCTCCTTCATATCAAATCAAATCAAATCAAATCAAATCAAATCTTTACTCCATTAAATATAATATTGTTTCTTCTGATTGACAGCAGGGCCTCTGAGGCTCAGGCAAAGCTGCTTCTTCATTAGGTGCTCCCTAATCCTTTGAAGGAGGTTCCAGGGACCTTTTGCATCAAAATATGTGTTCATCATTCAGTTATACTTCCCCAAAACCTTTATTTTTTTACGGATTAGTCTTCTCCATCTCAGAAGGAATGTTCAAGAAGGAGAAAGCAGGAGTTGCACCTGTTACTCTATTACAATATAGTTTAGATGAATCCTTCATTTAAAGTCCTACTGAACTGTCTACTTTTCCAAGTCAAGGAGCAATTAGTCTAGCATTTAAACCCTATTTCCTGCTGAGATCTATATGCTAAATGAAAGAGCTACATGTTTAAATTAATCCTTTCATGGTCCCTCCTCAAAATGTCTCTCTTATCTTAGAAGAATAGTTCATGCTTTACCTCAGTGTTATGCCCTCCAACAGAAAGGATGTGGAAATGGAATGAGAATTAGGAATGACAAAAGCTGTCATCTCCTCATTTTTACAGTGGTGCTTAAAAATCATATTCAGGGACTGAGCAGGGAGAAAAGATGTGCTGTGTGACTCCCAAGCTTGAAAGCTGGTGTTAAGTATTGGGTGCCCCTTGGAGATTGTGTCTCTCAGGAACAGAGATCATTATCCATAAACCCCAAAGGTGTTTCTTTGGGCCTACTTAAGTTGTGAATGGAAAGATGCTATGTTTTCTCATGGTAGAAGGCAGTTAATTCTTACAGATGATCGTTCCTTTCATCTTGTCTGAAGGTCAACTCTTCTTAGCTCAGAACTGAAGATACTGTGTTGTAGAGGAGGCAGTCACATTTGAAATATAACAGAAAAATATTCAACTGCTAAAATAAAATAATAGTAAATATGCAAGAACTCTGGAGTCATTTTTCAAGATATATACAGTACCATCTTGCTTCACTGGATGGAAATCAGATATCAGAATGTCCATCTGTCCTAATCCTGCAATATTTTGCAAACAGGCATTGCTGTTTCCAGGCTCAGAGACTTGGCCTTACGGCTGGTGTAGGTTTGCTGCCTCCAATCACTGGATCTTCTTGAGCTCCAGGAGGAATGACATAGTTAGGTGGCAAGCTTGACTGCTCCTGGGAAGCCCCTCTCATGAGCTGCCCTGCTGGGCGAGATATTTTGCAATCCAATAAATCTAAAGTTTCCATTGATCCTAAGTATTTGTCTTCTGATGTAAGATGTTTTGCCCTTGGCCTACAATCCAACTTCTTCAGCAGTTTTACCTCCTTTAATCACCAAAGTTGCACATTTGATGAGATCGAATTGCATTCCTGTGTCCTCATTCAATACAAGCACAGTATTCAATAAATATTCAAGTCCTGTTTTTGATTTTGCAATAATTTTAGGTCATACATATATAGCAAATAAGTTGTTTTTGGACCTTGATTTGAGAGCTGATAGTCTTTCTTTCTTTTTTTTTTAAGTGGGATCATTGCTGAAGTACATAGTAAAGGCGACAATGGAATATTCTTTCTCTAATTTTGACCTTGCTGATCTCTTTATCATTAGCTATATCAGATTTGTTTTCCATGCATTCATCAACACTTAAGTAGTTCTGAATGTTTTTACTAAGCCCCTCCCCCTCAGTGTAGTCATTTTCTGATCTAGCTATGAAGATGAGAATCAAATGCCTTTTTATAGCGTATCTAAGCCATAAAAAGGTGTGCTTTTCTTCTCTTTGAGTTTTTAAGGATCGTGTTGTCCATTAGTAACTGGTCTTTCATGCCACATGAATTTGTGTAAGTTCCTTTTTGCTCAGTGGGGAAAAGTGAATCTTCTTTCAAATGAGAATATAGTAAGTTTGCTAGGATTCCTGTAAATAACTAAAATGTTGTGGGATGGCAAATAAAAGGCCTATAGTTGTCAGGATTAGTGTTTATTCTTTGTGCCATACTGGGTGGGATATTTTTTACAAAGGTTGGTCTGTTCTAAGCAAGACACAGAAGACTGTTCCTCTTGTAGAATGCTGCCTCTGATCAGTGTGATTTCTTTTTTTATATAATAATTTTATTAAAGATCACATTTTACAGATAAAAGATTTTTTAAACTTGTACTTAGAATTTATTTTGTAAAGGATCGAAGGAAACACACCCATGAAAACCATGAAATTTGCTGCTCTGGAGGTTCTCAATATTTGAAAAACCATAAAAAATTAATTCCAAAGCAATTAAAAAATGAGGACTGGTTGAACCTTATGTCCTTACAGGCTACATTAATGACCATGAGCTTTGGTTGAATCCATAACTCCCAGCCACTTAACACACAAGCAGATTGCAAAAATATTGGTTCCTGCTGTCTTCTCATGAGGAGCTGCTGTACAGAATACACATGGACACTCTCATGATCTATTCTTTCCCCGGAGGGATTTTGCCAGTCCGGATCCCACATCCGGACACCGATTTCATCCGTAATGTCATCCCCACTTCTTCAGGGACGACTTCAGTTCACTATGTCCTCACTGGAAGTCTGATCACAACCCTAACCTTGAGGAATAGGAGGAAGAGCTCCAAACAAGGCAATGGTCACATAAATGAAATCTGAGTCCAGGACAGAAATATAATTTGAGAAAACATCTCAGACATGGCCTTCCCTAGTTCTCATGAAGATAAAGGGAAGGGGGAAATGCATTCAGATTTGCAAGATTCTGTTACTGTAACATTAAAATACAGTAGTATTATCATTCATAACTCTGGTTTCCTAATCTGGTCTACCTTGAATGGCTGACATTGGATAAGTTGACTCAGGTTGGAGACAGTAGTCCTGCAAGGATCTTCATGTCATGTCATGTAGACAGCAGGAAGGGAAGGGAGTTTCTATCTCTTCTACTTCTTCATCAGGAGCTCCTCCCATTCTAGAACTCTTTGTATCAGGTTTAGGTGGAGCAGGTCATACAAATGTCTCCTACTGTTTCTCCAAGCTGGTCTTTCTCTATGATAGAGTCAGAGTTACTGGTAGGTTACAAAGCTGGAACTTGTACCTGGTCATGTGGATTTGGCTGTGAGGATATTGAAGACAGAGCTGTTACAGTAGAGTAGGCAAGGAGGTATGTATGTTTTGTACATCTTCCTATGATTGTTCCATGCCTGGGTGATCCTTCCAATGAATCAAATACCCTCTTATACTAGGAATAAAAAACACATTCCACTTTGAATTCTTCTACTTCCATAAGATGGGGGGAGGGGCGGATAGTGGAGGGGAGAGAAGTGCTCAAGGACTTGGAGGGAGAGGTGGAGAATTGGATGTATTTTCAGTGCAGCTGGAAGCCTCAGATGAAAGGCTTCAGGATTGATCTGTGTAACTACAGAGAATGGTACAATGAACAAGGCATCCAGCATTTTAAATAGATACATGGAGGGGCCAAATATGGTAGAAAGCCAGATGATTCAGCAATCAAAATGTTAATATAGTAGTTGCTTGTTTTGTTTCTGCCATTCTTTAGGAGGGGTGAGGGGGGAAGTGAAAGTAGAAGGAATGGGTACATTATCAAAGGCCAGGAAGACGGACTGTTATCAGAGGTTAGGAATGTGCAAGGTCGCACCTCTGTGAGAACCACAATTGGCGCCTGGAAAGAGGGGGGTGAGAAGTAGGGGTAAAAGTTAAGTGGGAAAAGTGCAGGCTTTAATTTTAGCAATGCTTTGCTTAGAGTTGCACGTACGTTCTAATAAATGAAATCTTTTTTGAACTTAACTTGGGTTGCATGAGATTTTTCTTCATTGGGATTTGAACATTGCAGATCTGACACCAGATGTGGGGTCCAACAGCAATTGGGGGTCTTTGGGTGATGATGGTTAGCAAAGTGTTTTCATGAGGCCTTGGCATGGCTCAACTGATCCTTGAGTGACTTGTAGGGAAGAGTTGGGATGCATTTGGCAGCAGGCAGTGACCGTAGGTGACCTGAAATGGCAACATTTGAGTACAAGTAGGAACTGAATTATTTATGAACAAACTCAGCCATAGATAAAAGATCAGACCAATGGCCCTGCTGTTGGTTTACATAGACATAAAGATAAAGCCCTGAAATGGCATTTGTCCTCTCTATTTTTTCATCTGACTTCAGGTGATAGGGAGAGGATTGGTGGAGCTTACATCCAGGAATTGAAGTACAGCTTTCTCACAAGGCAGTGTGAACTGTGTACCTCTATCAGGGAAAATATGATTGGGGAAGCTTTGGTTTCAGATAACGTGTTGAACAAACAAAGCATTCCAAGAGTACAGAGGAAGCCACAAGAAAAGAGGTCAGCTGGCAACCATGCCTTTGACACGTGGAAATCAATAAGAAATTACAAGAAATTCTAAGACTCCTGTTTGGAGATGCAACAATCTAGCCAGTTTATTAGTGGCATGGAGAAAAGTGTGGCAAGAGAAAATGCCTTGGCCTTGACACCCGCTCTAATGCAAACCCTCTAATTCACAGAGAGGAAATGAACATTTTAAATACTCCAAAATGTCAGCCAGATGGGGGTTATGTATAGCTGCAAGATGTCTTCCCTTAAGGAAGGAGGAATACCTAGCCAGCTGTGAAGTGGTTCTCTCCA